CTCAGCTTTATGAAGCATGATATCCTTCTCCAGGGATGACAATCTTGGAAACCCTATTGGGCAGTTCTACCCTGTCCTACTGACTCAAAAGCAATAGGAATTTTTTAATGTAAAATTTTCAGATTTCTGTGTTTATGCTCAGGAAAGAGAACTTTAAAGACAGAAATTGATCAAAGAATAGGTTTTCTGCATTAAAAACTTTAGTGATTCCTCCTTACCATTTTTTGGTGTGTTTGTTTATTTGTTAGTAACTTAAAAACCTTAAAATGTACCAGGCAGGGGTGTACTATGGTTTTCATGGGCCCTGGGTACTTTTGCTTCCAAGGGCCCTTTCCTCCCTAAAAAATGAATAAAACTTTATTTTATAACCATATTGGTATAAAAACAAATATGTAACTATTATATATTTAAACAGTTTCTATGACCTAAAAGTTCATTTTCTTCTGATCTTAAAAGAAACTAAAACATTTTGTTGGGCCCCTAAAATTATTATGAGCCCTAGCACTAGGCAATGGAGCACAAAATAAGACTTCAGAAATGTCATTATCCTGGAATCCACTCTGGCTGACATTCCTGACAAGACCAAAGAACTATAAAAAGGATGTCATCTGTCATGGAATCCTCAAAGTCACTTGAAAATTCACAGAAATGCTAACTCAGGCTAAGTAAGGGGGAAGCAAGCTATTTCCACTTTGCTACAAACATAAGTAAAAATAAGCTATACACATAATGTAATATCAACAATAAAAATAAAATATATGGAAGGAGAGAAATATGCCAGAATGGCCTATATGGTCATTATTGTATGCTAAAACATGTGGTTGTTGTTGTTGTTGTTAAGTGCCGTCGAGTTGTTTCTGACTCATAGCAACCCCATGCACAGCAGAACGAAACACCGCCCTATCCCGCACCAGCTCCATGATCCTTGCTATACTTGAACCCATTGTTGTAGCCACCATATCAATCCATCTCGTCAAAGGCCTTCCCCTCTTTTGCCGACCCTCCACCTTACCAAGCATGAT